TGCCATTGCTTTCCTCTGAGGCTGAGAGAGTGTGACTTGCCCATGGTCACTCTGGGTTTCCATAGCCAAGCAGGGATTCGAACCCTGATCTCCAGAGTCATAGTCTGGCACTCAAACCACTTAAGGTTTATATCATTATAAATATAATTATGTATACAGTATATACCTGGGGCTCAGGTGGCAGGGTTTGTTTTTTTTAGGGCAATTAAAAAGCAGCACGTTGTGTGTGTGTGTGTGGTTTTTTTTTAAATAAGCCCTTATTATCACATTTATGACTTTGGGTATTAGGCACTGCCCTAACAGAAAAGCTGGGGCTCAGGTGGAAGGTTTCTTAGAGCAATTAAAAAACAGCATTAAAAAATTCCTTAGTGTCACATTTATGTATACATAAATATGAAGTCACAAATATGATGATAAGGGCTTAATTTTCAAAAACTGACTTTTTAAAAATGCTCTAAAAACCCTGCCACCTGAGCCCCATCTTCTCTGGTGGGCAGTGCCCAGTAACCAAAATCATAAATACGAATTTGTTGTCGCCTTCAAGTCGCCTTCAATATCATGGTATTTTCTTGGCAAGACACGTATATTTATTTATACATAAATGTGACTGTAAGGGATTTTTTTAAAAAAATGCTGTTTTTTAATTGATCTGAAAAAACTGCCATCGGAGCCTCAGCTTTTCTGACCCTAATGGCAGGGCCGGCTCTGACCAACAGTGTCCAGGGTTTGTTTTGTTGTGAGTGGCATTTGCCTTCTCTGGTTTGTGCAGCCATTTCTGTGGAGGGTTGTTGTGGGTAGTGCCACTTTGGGGAGTTGTGAGCCTTGAAGGGTTCCTCCCTGCCCTCAAGGATGTGTGTGTTGTATGTTGTGTGGACATACCCTTGAGTCACCTTCCTGTACTCAAAGGGTTAATAGGAGTGGATTTCCCTTCCTTATCCTGTGATATGGGTTTTGTTTAATTTCTTAAAATTAGAGTCCTAGTAATTCTGCTCACAGACTGAGTGCCTCGGAAGTAGATCAGTATTGCTAATACAGTTGGTATATTTGGGAATACAAATAATTTGCTGTAAACAACTATTTCCTTTCCCCATACTTTTGGGGAACATGCCTACCACTCAAGCCTCCTGTTCTTAAGAAGGTTGTTGTGGTGTGCTTTTGAGTCCTTCTCAGCTTATGGTGACCATATTACAGGGTTTTCGTGGCAAGATTTGTTCGGGGGGGG